AATAAATGGTCTTAAATGCTGGAGTTAACGTAAAACTGCTAATTCACCCTTTAACCCTGAAGGTTGGCACGTAGACTGCTGGTCACTGTAGCAACACAAACAACAGTCTTACCTAGCTAGTAGCTAACAAAATGGGAAAGAGAAAGATTTAAGACTAACATCAATAATTTGGAGACAAATAAGCTTACTTGCATTTATAATCTCTCCAGCTGGTTTCCCGATATGTTTAATCTACAACAAGAAACTGTAAAACACAAGAAGCTGCCGAATGAAAAGCTGACCTCAACCTCATAAAAAAAATCAAATGTTGAAAGTCATTTTACAAGAAACTATTGCACTTTTTTGGAAAAGTTTCCTGCCAGAGATGCATGAAAAGTGGCTATAGCTGAGCTAAAGCTTAAAGAAGAGCAAAGTCTGAGTTTTTGTTTATATTACATTTTTAGCCTATACTAGGACATCAGCACATACTGAGACATATTTACAGCCAAGATGGTAAAATGGACATAAAATATTGTGGCTCCCAAGGTAGTATGATTTTTGCTAAAGGACAAAATGGCTCTTCTTAACATTTGGATTGCTGACCCCTGACTTGGGACAATGATTTAATTTTATTTTTACTTAAAGAGCCAGTTTCATGAACATTGCCTAGTCTTAAATCACAATGACCTTTGTGTCTCACAGTTAAAAAACCTCATTTTTAAGCTTAGGCTTAATCTAACTGACACCTAGAGTTATTATTTGAATTTTGCAATAATGTTTAAATGAAGTAGAGTTACATAATACATTACATAGTTATGTAATAACCTTCATTTGCATTCATTTTATATTCTGTATGTACAGCAGCAACTCTTCATTAATTTAAAATCATAATAAAGTCATTCCTTTTCTGCTCACTAACACAAATGTGGTATGGGTTGAAAGTTTAAAATATGGCTCCAAATTTAGTCAGATATGGGGAAGTTTTCTCAGTTTTTCAGAAGAACACTGTTCATCAGCACCCTGGGTTTCTTGGCATTCAGCGCTCTGAATGAACCCAATTAATGCCAGCGCTAACTGGCTAAATCAAACACAAACAGACAGTTTATAATCGGTCTTGAGTTGCTTGAGCATGAGTCAGTGTGTGTTGGTGAAGGAAAGTACAAATAAATATCATGTATGTATTTAGTTGGTTGTGGTTGAGACTAGAGAGCAAATTTGACATCAATTGCTGAGACCAAGACAGATCCGAGTACAAATACTGTCCAAGTCAATAGAAAAAAAAAACATATTGATCTGGACCAGGCATGCTAGAAGTGGGGGTGCTGAGGGGGCTACAGCACCCCCAGATTTCAGAACTTTAAAATATTTTGAGCACAGCAAAGATGTGCTTTTTGTAAGCAACATCTAACATGAAGCAGTAGAAGAAACTTAACTAAAGCAAGCAACATGTTGTGGTGTAGGCTGAGTAACAGCAGTAAAAACTCTTATGGCAAAATCTCAAAAATTTTGGCATCCTCAACTTAAAACACTTTCTCGAGTCCCTGAGCGCTACTTTAGGCCTATAACTTATCATTATAAAATCAAATCACGGTAGTAATTTAAGCTAATTTTGGACGTTCTCTTTGTTCATTACTTCACAATAATTGCAGTTTAACACAGTGGTTGATGTTTATATGCCTGCTTATAAATCTGTCGAGTAATACAAATTCTCCCTGAGATTTTTAAGTGCCTACATTGTACTTCGCCAAGCGTAAAGTGAGAAAGTTCTCTCTCTCTGTCTGAGCCCGGGAGCTGTCCCCACCGCTGTGAAGATTTCCTCCGCTCTATAATCACCTCGGCCGGGGCCAGCATGCTAACCCGTTCTGCTCTTCTGCTCAAGTGCTCTCAGAGCTCGGGCTATGGAACCCTGCTGCCGCTCCACTTCTACAACTCCTCTAAAAGAACGCTGCGACAAATTGGGACGCCGAGACAGATTTGTGATCCGTGTGTTTGGAAGGAGGACAAAGCGCGACGGAGAGAAACTCAATTCTACAGTGCCAGGACGCAGGCTTTGTGCAGCTTTTGAAAGCACATTTTGAAATTAATGGGAATTTGGGCTTTAAACGGCTTTGAGAGGAAATCGTCTCTGCTTTGTTCTAAATTTTCACTCGTTTCTGAGCTGAATGGCAGTGGCAACGGGACACATAGATTAACAATTACAGACACTGGATGCTCATCTTTATTCTATTATGTTCTTTCTATTGATGACAGTGTTTAACTTTACCACGGAGGGTGTAAAATACAGCAGTCAGATGCATTTAGAATACAAGAATCCTTGTAATAAATTATTATAGTAGTACTTGATCCCATTTTATTTAGATTAGATCTTATAGACTTTAATTATTAGTGATATTGATATCTGACAGTATTTTTTTTTTCTTCTCCTTCAGATTTTTGACGCTAACTCATTGCACAGTTTTCAAGATGTCAACACCGTTCCGACGTCAGAATGTCCGATTTGATCAGAAATAGTGTGCTTGTATACTGCTTTTTGATTGTATGTATGATTTTCATACAATAATTGTCAGTGACAATTTTTTCCCTTAAGAATAAATGGCAGACAAGTGCTTGTGCACTCTACTTACATTATGATATTACAAATACACTAACAACATCCTAGCAACCATGTGGAATACCATAGTAACATCCTAGCAACTACCAAGGGTACCATAGCAGCCACCTGGGATACAATAGCAATGCCCTAGTAACATGTTAGCAACCATTCTGAAGATGATAGCAACTACCTAGCAACACCAAAGATACCATAGCAACCACCCAGCAACAACCTAGCAACCACATGAAATACCATAGCAACCACTTGGGACACCACTACTGTCACCTAGCAAGACTAACGCTGCATTTGCCATCTGTAACATGAGTAAGTCACTCTGGATAAGAGCCTCTCCCAATTTCCTAAATGTTAGGTTGAATTAAGTTGATGATTATATCAGTATCAGCAGATAATTGCTTATAAATTGCATTGGACGGATGTTTAGATTTGACCAATATTTCAAACTAGTATCTGATGATGTATTCATTTGTACTCCGTTAGTGCAGAATGTTAGGTGATGCTGTGCTACTGTGCTAAAATATATGCTATTGTAACCCTCTAAAAATATATGCTATATTTCTCTATAAGGCTGATCCAAGTGGATTTCGTACTAATTTACACGGTTTATAAATATTTATGTATCAGCATCAGTAGATATGTACATGAAAAACATCAGATATCAGCATATCGATGCATCTCTAATATTTAGTTGTATGTAAGTTTATGTTGCATATAGGTTTATGACAAGGTAGGAATCTGCAAAGCATCTTCAGTAGACTATCCAAAGTAAGCTGGATGTTTCCTGATATTCAGTAAAATAGATGCTCATTTTTGGCCAAAGATAAAGCAGTAACCCTTTAACTCTGCGAAATATCCTTGACATTACCATGCTTTAACCATGTCATGGCAGATAATATGCAGGTAATACACTCTCATGAGTTGCCATGACAGATTTTGTTCAGTAATATAACAATGTCAACATTTGCTGACAGCTTATGTCACATGCTAGCTCTTCCTGTGTCTTATAGTTTGGTATATGTTTTTACTATATTCAACTACTGTGTAAATATTCTCTCCAGCCATAACTGTGCATCCAGTGTATTTTAAAAGTAATTGTAAATGGTACCAAAAAGAAATGAAATCATGGTGAAATTTGTTCACTCACAGTAAACCTGCACAGCAATAACATGCTACTGCAGATGTTATTCCGGCCTCATGCCCTCTCTGTGCCTTTCTCTTAGTTTCTCCTAACTTTGTTGCTAAACTTTCTCTCAACTGCTTAATATTCTGTCTTTGTCTCTCTCTTTTTCTCTGTCACTGTCTCCATCTGTGTCTGTCTCTCTCTCGCTCTCTCTCTCTCTCTCTCTCTCTCTCTCTCTCTCTCTCTGTGTGAGACTGGCTGATCCATCTTGCTGTTGGCTGTTGCCAGTAGTGGAGTGTTAAAAGCCTGTGCGGTGCAGCCTTATACAGCAAAGGGCTTACAAGGTGAACAGAGGCAAAGTGACAGAGTCAGAGCCTCTGCGTGTGTGTGTGTGTGTGTGTGTGTGTGAGTGTGTGTGTGTTTATGTACATTTTCTGGATAAACATGTCCAGACTTTATAGGAAAGCCAGACAAAAACAAAGATAACCTACAACATCAGCACCAACAGAATGCCCACTTGTAAAGTGTTTTGTTTGTTTGTTGTTTTGTATATATAAAAGCCCCATGTTTGACTTTTTTAAACCTAGAGGACACATTTCTTTTTGGTTATGGAGGTTAAGGTTCAGGTTGTGTTTGATCAACCCAGTTGTGGATTTAAGTGAAAATAAGTTAAGACATCCTCTACAGAGCATGAACTTAAATATTATGTTGGAAATAAATATTGGAAAAAACAAAATTTTATATAAAATGTGCCATAACGTTTCCACAGGCCACACTTCCGGGTTTTTTCTATTAATATGTTAAATCCAGCAAATATACAGATACAGTAATTGTGTATTAAATGTGTTCTCTGTAGAGGATGTGCTGACTTATTTTCACTTTCGACAAATCAACAAAGCCTGTCATTTGACCAGAACCCAAGCTTTTGTATAAGTTGTATGCAACTGTGACTGTGATGGCCATTCCAAAAGCTTCAGCATACATTTCTTGAAGTACTTCTGTTGTAGAAAAAAGCCTCTTTCTAACTTCAGTTTTTGACTATTTTCACATTTACTCCCAGAATTATGCCAATATTTAGTGGCATCCATTTGCCTGTGCAGTGTTTCCTGTGCTCCTGGCAGCCCCAAAGCATGATAGAACCACCCATGCGTAGGAGCTGGCAAGGTGTTCTTTTCATCAAATGCTGTTCGAGTGCTTATATTATAGTATGCAGAATACAGCAGGGATTTTGTATTGTTATAAATATGTGTGTGAAATATATCAGCCCTGTGCAATGTTGAAATACCTTACCATCACAGTCTCCAAGATGTGTGATGTTGCCATACTCGACATCCTGCACAAAGGGAAGCCTGGATAACAAGGGGAAAAAGAGAAAATGAGTCCGGCAGACCAAAACTGAACAACGATATGTATGTATATAATTTTGCAAAAATTTATTTATTGATCTTGTTACATTAATGTACATTGAAGTTAATAACATGATTTTTCTTTTCCTATAAAGTTTCTACTTCAGAGATACATTTTTTCAACAGCTGATAAAGCGATGCAGTATGATAAAGTGTTGCAGTATGTGCTGAATATAAGTCTCACCTGGTTCCAGGTCTGAGGAGAGAACAGGTGCTTCCTCTGGTCCAGCCGCAGTACGGATCTCTAGAGGAGATGCAGTTTCTGCACACAAGCACACGGTTTCAATACACAACTACTATCAGTACAAACACTTTTGTTTTCAACAAAAAACACAAGACTACTGTATTACAGAGCTGTCCAATGTGTCATTACCATAATATTAGCATCTTCAGTACTCAAACTACATTGCACTGAAATGCGTAAAATGCTGTATGTATTCAGCTGATAGAGGACAAAAAAATCTCATAAATTGATAATGTACAAACAAAAAACAAAAGTACAAACAAATTTGTTTTTACATTGAAATGTGTTAAAACAGGAAAGAAAATTTGAAAAACGTTCAAGCAACAGGTAGTTATATGGGGCAAATAGAACTAATATGAATACAATGTAATTGTTTGTTTAACAGTTTCCTAATCTTTCATTGTGGAAGCCCAGTATTATTTATAGTTATCATCCAACATTTTAATTGGCGAGTCAGTATGTTATTATGTTAAATCAAGTGTGCTGGTGATGAAACTTGGTGTCCTTGACGTGTCAAGGAGAAATGGGAACCAACTTTTGTTCTTCGAACTACTTCCCAACATTTGTATTACTTTTTACTTTATTTATGTTTATTTGCATTCAGATGACATTTGATGATAATAGATTAGATTAAATTTTATGGTTTTTGAAGCAGACAATCTTTCCAACCTACAAGCCTAAACACACGTATTACCATAATTAGAGACATTTTTAAAGAGTTTTGCACAATACTTTATCTACCTGTCTATTGCCTGTCAATGAAACTGAATCTGGGCTGTAAAAGAAAACAGTGATTCTTGCTCTGATTTTGCTGGATCCTTATCCCTCACTTAGACCTTTTTTGATTTATTTTGCTGCTTAAATGTGTGGCATTACAGTTACATTTCAGGTGAGTTTGTTTGTACTTACTACCTTGTTACTTCACATAATTTTCTATTTATAAGATATTTTATTATGTCCCTTTTCAGCTCAATCGCCAGAACCTGTTTGGCATTTCAGTGTAATTTCGTTAGGCTGTCTTACAACTGACCACCCCATTACCCAAAATTACCTAGCAAGGGCGAGTGGGCACAAGCTAACACGTTTTGTTTTTTGATGAATAATTTTACAAGTATTTGAGCAAGATTAAAATGTTTTATACAAGCAACCTCCACATCTCTGCTACAAATGAAAATGTAAACTTTCCATCACCCATAGTTTATGAGAAATTCAGATGAAGGTGGATTGAGTGCAAATGATGCAAACACAGTTAATTTAATATAATTATATGGTGTTTGAATCAGGCAAGCCTTCCAATTCACATACAAAAATATATATGCATCAAACCAAATATGATTAGTGAAAAAAGTGTAGTAGAGGAGCAAATCAGCATGAGCACCCCCTGTGACCCAGAAGGACAAGCGGCTTAGATAATGTGTGTGTGCGTGACATCTGAAGTATGTTATTGATTAATCTGTGCATAACAACTTCCAAAAAAAGGAACTGTTTTAAATTTATATGTGGAGTTATTTACTTCTCTTAACATATATTTGGGGCTTTTAATTGTAACGCTGCATTAAAATGAACGCTGCCATGTGGAGGCTGCATTTTAGGCTGTCTAGCTCTTCCTATGAATTATTTATATGCTTTAAAATGGTGCTGCATTACAGCCATGAAGAGGATGATTAAAATAATATAGGTGTGAATTCTGTGACTTACATGCAACTCAGATATTGAACATCTTTATGATAAAAAAATTACTTTTATGGTATAAAAATAGTCATTAGGGTGAATCTTGAGATGTACCTGTCTGATTGCTGTTACAATTTGCAGAAGACGTTGTTATGAGAATATGTGAAAATGACCAAAAGCTACTTCTACTTAAACTTGTTTTTTAAACAATGCTACATTGCACCCCACATTAGATTGTGCCTCGGTCTCCCCTACTGTGGTGTTTGTACCTCACAGTCAAGTCACGAATAAGTTAGCATGAGTTCGAGTCAAGTCACGGGTCAGTTTAGCATGACTTTGAGTCAAGTCACGAATCAGGTTAGCATGAGTCTGAGTCAAGTCATGACTCAGTTTAGCATGAGTTTGAGTCGTCACAAATCAGTTTTGCACGAGTCTGAGTTAAATCACCAATCAGTTTAGCATGATTCTGAGTCAAGTTGCAAGTTACATCAGTTAAGCACGAGCCTGAGTTGATTTGTGAATCTGTTAAGCACGAGTCCGAGTGGAGTAGTGAATTAGTTAAGCAAGAATCAGAGTTGAGTTGCGGATCTGTTCGCAACTCGAAACATAAATCGGAACATATAACTTTTAGGCATGATATCTGCCTGCCCCCGATTAATACCTAGAACCTAGAGGACTTAGCTATTATTTTTGTCGTCTGTGCTCTAAGGTACCATATGGTCCATACTGTGGCGCCCTGCTGTCTAACAACCCCCTGCACATCAACTGGCGACTGACACAAACGTTATTGGGGATATGTGGCAGCAGTGACTTGGGAGTAACACACACAGCAGGCGTTCATGTGCTGCCTCTGTGATTTAGGCGCAATCACACTTTCAGCTTATGCTCTTGCCGCAGGTCACTGCCACACCGCAAGGTGAAGTCTAGCCTGATCTAAAGATAGCACTACATATATATATATATATGTGTGTGTGTGTGTGTGTGTGTGTGTGTGTGTGTGTGTGCATGCAGAACACTGCAGCAAGGAGATCTCTGACTGCAAGGAGGCATGCACTGAGGAAGCTCCCAGCATGCTGTGCAGGAGGACCACTCCCTTCATTAAGACAGAAGTTGAACTGAGATTAATCAGCATGGATCTTATTAATGAGGAGGTTCAACATTCAATTACACTAGTTCAAGCCTGTGCCAAGGATAGCATGCAGGGACACGCCAGAGGAAGTGTGAGGGTAGTGTGTATGTGTGCGCTGTATTAAGGATTGCATCATGAAGATGAATTTCAGACACTAATAAAGCAAAAGCTAATTCAGTAGCAGTGAAACTGTAGACTGCAGGTCTAAAAACAAAAATAAAGCACATATCATTCAGATAACTTGTAGGAAGCTGTGTGAAAATTTAGATGATTCTACGTGCCTGTGAACAGAAACCTCTTATTCAGATAACTATGTGGGAAATAACTGCAGTAAACATTTAAACTGGTTTCTGTCGGGGGGGGGGGTCGTCGGGGGGGGGTTCATCCTTCTTTAAAACACAGCATTTTCCTTCTGTCTTTAAGACTGAAGGCTTGTTATTTGAAGTCCTATGGAAGCTGATGCTGCTACAAGCCTCCAGGCTGTGGTCGCAGCGACTCAGGAAAGTTTTTCCCATAACTAGCTCCAGTAAAAATGATGTTTTGCCACTTTTCCTTTTGCAGAAGAATAAGTTGGACGGGTTTGTTGGTGAAGTACTTGGTATTTATTGCAGAATAAACAAGAGTGCCAATAAGAAAGAGAAAAAAGAGAGCATTTTGCATCGTGGCAGTGAGTACAGATGCCAAGGTAATAACATACTTTCACTGCAATATCCATAATGCAGTGCCATCAAACTGCAAAACTACACCATGCACGTAAGATTGGAAACAAAGGGTTTCATTTGTGTACCACATTAAAAAGGCAGTTCTAATTCAAATAAGTTTGTTTGTACTTTTTTCGTCTCTGGCTGAAACTTAAGTCACAAATCACTTTAGCATGAGTCTGAGTCAAGTTGCGAATCAATTTAGCATAAGTCAGAGTCAAGTTGCGAATCAGTTTAGCATGTGCTTGAGTCAAGACGCTAATAAGTTTAGTATGAGTTTGAGTCAAATCCCGAATTAGTTTAGCAAAAGCCCGAGTCAAATCACGAATCAGTTTAGCATGAGTCTCAATCAAATCACGAAACTGTTAGGTGCAAGTCCGAGTGGAGTTGTGAATCAGATCATACGTACATCGGAACATGCATAGCTTTTTTAGGCATGTCATCTGCCTGCCACACAGGTAGGATATCACATCACTCAACATGTTTAAAAGTTCAGTTATGTTCACGTGTGGAAATACTAGTGTCTTGCTATGTTTTGCATGAAATAAATCAATAGATGAACAATGTTTGTGAATTTTTTGCCATCACTGGGGGCTGTTACTGCAGTAACTCGGACACAGGCCTATCTAAAATAACTGAGAAAATGTATGACGCAGAGAGTATTATGGGTGAATGTGTGAAGCTAACCTGTTGTGGTCTGAATTGGTGGATGTATGTAAATACAATGTTTTTGTGACCACAAAAAACAATGTATTTAGTGTGAAAAGTTAGATTTTGCATGTTATGGGCTTTTAACAAGACAAGCATTTCCTAACTTCTGCATTGTTTGCATGTGTATGTACTCACTTCATGCAGCGGGAGTGCAGTTGGCAGCGCGCTACAGGCAGCCTGACCACACAGGAATGAAAGGCCAGCAGGAGTGTGTGGCTGGGTCTGTCCAGAGTGAGAGACAGCGGCTGGCGGGCCTGTACAGAGTCGTCCCCGCACCTGCACACACCAAACACTTATTAACACTCCTAATTCCCCACGGCACTCGTTTTGTTATTTCTCAGCCGTAGCTCAGAGACATTCAGTCAAAGTGTGCATTGTAAACTTTCAACCAATGAGGCAGTTGAGTTCATAGAAAAGGAGATGAGGAACGGCTTTGTGGGAGGAATAACTTTACAGTTTTCACATTTTTACATCAAAACACACAACAAAAGTTGGGAGTGCAGATTTGAACCTCTTGATACACATTGTAAATTGAACGTAAATGTAACTCGTTATGTAACTTTGTAATTAATTATGCACTTCAAGTAAACAATTATGTAATTCAATGTATAGCAAAATGGTAATAAAAACAAACTGCCTGTCCAAAACACTCATTAAACATAAATCACACATCTATTAGCACTTATGATTGTTCAGCAAGACACACAGTTGTTAACACGTTTAAACGTCCATATCACTGTTGTCGGAAGAAAACCTCGTATCCCCAAAATGATAACTTTACAGGAGAAGGAAAAAACATACTTTACTTTTAATGTCAGTCAATGGAACCAGACTTTTTGCCAAGTCATTTTGGGCCTTTTCATTTGGTCCGTTCTTCATGAAATTTACACACAATGTCAAGGCCAACAGGCATTTTCAAAATATGCCAAAAACCAAAAAATGACAAAAATGAAGGTACAAGGTTTTCTTCCGACAGCAGTGATATGTTACATATTAAGTGAATGTGAAGTGTTTGCGGACTACACCGATTATGAGAGGCTTAAAATTCTGATAAGTTATAAAATAGGGTTGAATCTTTAAATGGAGTCTTTAAAAGCATGGTTTCGTGAAAAATCTTTGCCAACTTTCCCAGGTGTAGTCAATTGGCCGAGACATGTTTGGAGTCCAAATTTTGCTTCGTACATGTAGAACTAGAACTATGAGGCTAACATTGCTAAGAAACACTAGAACTCAATCACCCAAATAGCCCAAATAATTTCTGTAAAAATACATCTTTAAAATTTCTTGCAACCAGCTCAAAGCACATCCAAGTCTTCACTTAGGCCGTACAGACTTTCCAGTGTTGTTAACAGCACAGTATGAATTACTGTGAGCTATAAAAATGAAGAAAACTGTCGGGCAGCCACTTTAGACAGCAGGCTCTGTATTCACAAACCACCTGAAGAGTAGGATCTAGAGATCTGGAGTCAATATTTGTGACAATGACTGTCATAAATACAGAGGATCCAAGATCTGTCCTGCTTAGTGAATATCAGTCCTGGTGATGTCTGAAATGGCTGCCTGTAGCGGTGATTTTTTTTAGTTTTATAGCTCACAGTAAGTCATACTGCACTCTAAACCACATTCACAAGTCTGCGTGACCACAATGAGGACCTGGATGTGGTTTAATCGAGTTGATTTGGTGATAAATTTTTACACAAACGAATTAAGCTATTTGGGTGACCACTGAGTTGTAATGTTTGTTAATAATGCTAGCCTTGTTGCTCCAGTTCTAAACTAAAGAAGCAAGAACATGTCTTGGCTGATTGACTACATCTGGGGTAAGTGGACAATTGGGTTAGACTTTAGACAAACTATTCCTTTAAAGGCTTTTACTGAAGATAATTTGTGATAAACATAAATGTCGCATGTAAACGTGCAAGATAGAAGACAGAAGTTATAGTCATAATGGATTTCGTTTGAGAACATATGGATATAGCTAAAAAATATCATGTCACCTTTTGTTTTACACACTCTTCTATGCCTGCTTTACCAAGCTTGACAAGTATTTATGATGCATTATGTATACAGGGTTCATTGGAAGTGTTCCTGAAGCATCCAACTATGTAACAAAGTTGGACAAGTGCAGAAGTTGCATTAACAGAAGAGATGAAGACTTTGGGAATCAGCTGGAGGATACACCAGGTGTTCTGGGATTTTAAACACTGGCAGTGTGTTTGTGTTCGTGTGTGTGTTTGTTTCTCACACTGCTTTGTGTCCCGCTGAGAGTCTTATCTGAACTGTCACATGTCCTGTTTTCCTATCCCAGTATGCACCTCTCTGAACCCCACCACTCTCTCATCAGACAGGTACAGCCTTTCATCTTCAAAACTGCAGCCATATTTTTATCTCCCACCCCCATGACACACACACACACACACACACACACACACACACACACACACAGAATAATCAGGGAACTGTTTGACTTTGTTTACCCGTTATTGTTTTTGCTGACATTTTTATTTGGTATGCCCTTTATTTATAGTAGGAATCAAGGACTTCAGGGAGCCTTTGAAACTCTTTTTTAAATCTACTACTTAATGTCTGTGGCTTATCCATAGTTGTGCTACGATGAATGCTGAAATTTAGGAAGTATAAAAGCATTAAGCAAGCAAACAAATAAACAAACAAACAGAAAATATAAATTCCAAATCTAAATTGTTTTAATATAGACCCAAACCCTGAATCCTGAAGTGTTTGATACGTTCAACACAATATGCATGGACACCCTGGAATTGGGTGTCATATAAATTCAGTATGATACTATTGGTATATAAAATAACAATGTCTTTTCACAGAACATATAAAAAAATCATACAATGCGATTTCTACCTGTTTTGGAGGGGGTCCTGGAAGCAAACTTTAGATTTTAGATAACATTTATAAAAGTATTTTTATTGTCCTAAAATGTTATTTTTACACAGTTGTAGCTGCAGTTATGCTGTCAGTTTTAAGTGTGAATGTTTTCACAGCAGGAAGTATTGTATACAGTATTGTCATTCGTCTGAGTTATGGGAAAAATATTTTATCCGAATATATATATATATATATATATATATATATATATATATATATGTATAGACTGATGATTGTTGTATATTTACAGTAATGGCATTTGGCAGACAACTTACAACTCGATCATTTTACACAGGTTGGCGAAGGTAGTGTCAGGAGTCTTGCCCAAGGACTCTTATTGGTATAGTTTAAGGTCTTTGCCCAGGCAGGGGATTGAACCCCACTCTACAGCATAGAAGGCAGAAATGTTACCTACTACACTATACCAACCACATGACAATCATTTATATAGCAATCATCAGTCTTAATTTCCATTCTCCTGCTGTAATGGGCACTACAGGGCCTGTAGAAAGAGTCTTCTTATATGCTGCTTTTTATCATACAGCTGACTATGGCTCCAGTATGTTGTAACATCATGAAAACTGCAATTATCTTTGGAGCAAGCCATAGGAAAACCACTTTTGGTTCTCTACAGCAGTGCTTCCCATCCCTGGTCCTGGAGGCTGACTGCCATGCACACTTTAGTACTTTCCAACCTAATGAGGTGGTTAGTTGGATCAGGTGTGTTTGGAGCAGGGAAAACACTAAAATGTGCAAAGCAGTGACCTCCATGACGAGGGTTGCAAAACAGCTGTAAAGAACCTTTCAACTGGGAATATTCCTGCATTTCCCAAGGAATACGCCGCTAATCTGCCACACCTGTAGTGTATGGTCACTTACCACAGCCAGTAGTTTTAAGATTTTTTTCCCATATAGAAAACTCACTCACTCAAAACACACTTAGAACAGGAGCCAATGGGCAGTTACAGCACCGGGCAAACAAGGCTTCTGTTCTAAGCACAGAGGAAAATGGCATTTATTGTATACAGTAACTGTACACTACATATGTAACAGATAGAGGTCAAGCTGAAAAACTCTAGAGTATTTCTTTAAAGAATCATCCATCAAAACCTTTGTGGTGCCATCATTTTTAAGAGTATGTGCACCATGACCATGACCAAATGCACAATTAAACCAAAGGCCATTCCCACACAAGGAAACTATTAACACTTTGACTGCCCATGCAAGGCTGTTTCACAGACTTGAACTGTGGCCTTGTGAGAAAAGTCAGCGTAACAGCAAAATGCCCAACAGGTCCAATCACCAAAACGTGTGCTTGTGATGAATAACAGCCCACAAGCAAATCTTTGATGCAAACTGCTCCCACCTCTCAGGATTGTAGCCCTCCAGTTCCTCCAGGAAGATGTTGGTGTTGGAGTAAGGGCTATCTCTGCCAGGAATGATGAGGAATTTAAGAACGGTCCCCCGAGTGGACCCGAGAAACACTACGGTCCGGTTTCTGTGTGGTCCTGCCTCTGTGTCCACCACCATGGTGTTCAGCTGGTATCTGGAAGGAGGACAAAATAAATAAAACATAAATTAATGTAACCGTGTATTTAACCAAATCCTTTCCTTCAGTTGAGTTGGTGAATTTTCATTTGGTGCATCACTAATTATTATTATTATTATTATTATTATTATTACTATTACTATTATATCCTCTTACTTGTATTCCATTGTTTTAAATCTTATTAAAATCATATTCAGTACTTTTGACACAAATACTTATGCACATAAATGTATTTATGGACCATACATATCATTTTTCATAATTTTCTGCCCTGCTAGATTTGCTCTGGTAAATTGTAAGTGCTATTAATGTGAAAAAGAAGAACAACAGCCAAGAGGTAATAGATCAAGCAAACTCACAGTGATGAAGAGCATTTGAATCTCACAAAGGCTGTTTTGAATGAATGGATACAAATTCCCACAGACACACTAAAATCTTATGGAAAGTAGAGTGGTGGCTGTTATAGCCCAAAAGGGGAGGATGGGCAACTTTATATTAAAGACCCATGGTTTTGAAATGGGATGTCCAGCAAGCTCATAGAGGTGTGATGGTCAGATGTTCACATACTTTTGGCCATCTAGTTTATTAACACAGGCACAGATTCAGGCACTGCTTATTTTTGCTGTATTAAAAATGTATTATGGTTAATGGTTATTTTACTATATTGTGACTAGTATAGCACAGTAAAATGAGAGTAATAACTCTAGATGTCTCATGGTTAACTATATACCTACCCAACATATTTTTGCATAGCATGTATGTAGATCCACCTACCCAGCCTGCAGCAGTTTAGCTCTGCCTATTAACGCTGAAGCCCAGCATCTTTTTTTAATATGATACAATGGAAGACAGCCAATCAGAATTGAGGACATTTACATATAACAATCCTAAAGGTATAGTAACAAAATCAGCCTGTTTAATCGTAAAATGGTAAAAATGGTAAAACGCTAAATTTTGACAAACGTAATACGTTTATATGTCATACAATGAAATACAGGAAAAAAGCAGAATATGGGTCATTTAACATCTTAGCAATGATATGAAAGTCAGAAAACTGCAAAACAGCACATTTTCAAAGAAGAAAAAATGATATAGGCTATAACACAGATGAACTAGTGGACTGACCTGTACATTATGGCATTACATAAAGCTAATTACTGAGCTTTTATGCAGGGCTGGAAAACTCACAGGGAGAAATAAAGGGCATTGCAAGCTTGCATTTATCTAAGTTACAGTGTCAGGAAATGAAAATGTAAAAACGGAGATGAAAGATTGTGATGATACAAAAAAAAGCATGTTTTTACAGAAGTGCACTGTAAACATGGCAGATGGGAGAGCATCAATGTTTTCCAAAATATCTACAGTATACAGGCTACTATAATGTACTAAAATATATCGATAAAATAGGATCATGATCGTGACCAATCTTATTAAAACACCCTGTAAACAAACTCAGCTGTGAGGAACACTAGCTGCAGTTTGAAAAGCTCTCTGTTAATGATTCTAGTAAATATGATTTATTTTATTCATGACAACTGGGTTGAATAGCACTAATGCTAACAATATTACTTACAGTACTTCCAATGAGTACAATAATGCATGATTTAACATCGAAGTGCATCATACAACTTCATACAGTTAATACAGGGAATAGCAAGTCACTACTAAAGTAGCCCTATAGCTACATTCACAAAGGAATTTTAATACAATTACTTTTTAATTATGAATTATTTTAATCATGAATTATTCCTCCAGGCTTATGCTGATGAGTTTGGGCTTTGGATTGCGCTAGAATTAGAGCTACACACTATTGCTTGCATGCTTGTACTTATTAGCCTACAGATCATTGGCTCTGCTAGCAGTCAGGATTGGTTGACATGACAGAGATTGTAGTGAGTGGACATTGAAGGACAGAAACATGAAAATGTTATAAAATTGTGAAAACTGTTGAGGATGTGGGATTTAATGTTGCCCTGCAGTATAATGGATAACATGACCAATAACACAATAAATAGTAGTTTTAGGCTGGAATGCCCCTTTAAGATTGAACTCACAATTTATAAACATCTAAATCGAGCATTAGAGTGCCTTATAAAGGCATTACATTGACATTCATTGGAAGCGCTGTCAAGCATCTTATTTTCTTACATTATATTTTCCAAATTTCTGCTCTAAAAGTGTTTCAATCGAAATTCAGTTGACTTGGCTTCATAAGCATTTTTTCCATTTGAGAAAAACTTTCGCCGCTACTTTCCGCCAGGCTCAAAGGCTGCAGGTAAATAGCTGTCAAAATTGCTCTAGGCAGCACTTTTACAGCTTTGATTAATAATTTCTTCTGGGCACTTACATTGTTAGTCAGGCTAGATGGATGAAAGGCTTCATCATGCTTGCATTAACAAGACAAGACTCAACTGGGCCCTGAAGCATCTTATACTTCATAACATTTTAAACTTTATGCACAAATATGACATTTACATTTTCTATGTACATTTATTCATTTGGCAGATGCTTTTATCAAAAGTGACTTACAGATAGGGCATGCACCATCCAAGCACATAGCTATGACTTCAATTTATGACTATGTTTCCACTTCAGCAATAGTGCAAGACAGTTGTAGGGGGTATAAGAGGAACCTCCAATGCAGGATAACAAGCTACTTTAAAGAAGGTACTTTAAGAGCAGATAGATATGGTGCAAAACACAATTCAACAGCATAAAATGAGTAAGTGTGTCCTTATATTGCACAGTGCAGCATGCTGATGGCATTGATAGACAAAACGCAGTTCTGTGCCTCATAGCATTATGCCACCATGCAGTGATGGGAACATTGCCATGGTGACAGTGTTATATGATCATCAGAGGAGAGTTTACCAGTGCTGACTTTTTTATTTAAGGTAGAAAAAGTGAGTTTAATGTTTAATCTTTGTTGTATAATGCTGGGTGCGCCTGGACTTCGACAGTGAGACATTTGGCTTCCATGTCTCCCAAAAAATATCAGCATTCAATTTATTTCACCACCATGCTTGACAGCAAAAGTTCGGAAAATTGAACTCTTGACAAAGTGCACCACTGACCACTGCTCAAATAATATGTTGCCGCTGGCAGTGGCAGAATTTTCCGTTGCTGCTCTATTGAAAATAATGGAATATCTGTTTTGCCATTTCCCACCGTAATGTAAACACAGTGTTAATGTTGCACAATAAAGAACAAAGCAATGAGAAACCGTACGACTGTGGGATCAAATGTTTATGGAAACAACTGGAAGGCTGAAAGAGATTCAGTAAGATGAATGGAGCTCCAATGCTTGTTCCACTCAACAAAGAACCACATTTAAGAAGTGTTTGGAATAGGGCTGTCATTAGCGACTACATCTGATGATTATCAAATGTTTTTTTAAAGGTCAGCCAATAAAAATGACTTAACTGGAAAGAAACTAACCACGCATAACCTTTCAAAGATCAAAAATACTAAAGTGGAGTTACAAAAAAAAAAGATAAGCCTTTAAAAAACTTCATTAAAACTAAAAAATGCAAAGAAGTATGCAAAAGTTTGAACATCCCTGGTCCAATTAAATGTTTTGTTGATCTTCTAAGTGAAAAAAAGTTAACAAATAAATGTGTTAACATATTTTCACTTCAAAAATCAACAAAACATTTCATTGGACCAGGGGCACAAATTTTTGCATAAGACTGTAAATTGGTGAGCTTACCATCCATCCATCCATCCATCCATCCATCATCTAAACCCCTTATCCTTCTGGGTCGCGGTGGGGTGCTGGAGCCTATCCCAGCTGTCATTGGGCGGAAGGCAGGATACACCCTGGACAGGTCGCCAGTCCATCGCAGGGCAGACAGACAGACATACACATTCACACACTCACTCACACCTAGGGGCAATTCAGCATGTCCAATCAGCCTGACTGCTTGTTTTTGGACTGTGGGAGGAAACCCACGCAGACACGGGGAGAACACAGAAATGACCCTGGTCACCCAGCCGGGAATCGAACCCAGGCCATTCTTGCTGTGAGGCGACTACCCACTGCGCCACTGTGCCGCCCGGTGAACTTACCAGTCTACCTCAATTCATTGAGAAGGTAAATTTGAACTGATAATTTATTTAACTGAGTGATTGAATTGACAGTGATATAGTTGTGACATAGTTTAGAGTAGTAAGCCATGTACTGATGGCAACTCCAACCATAAGAGTTAACATAGAGACAAAATGCTGAAAAGTAGAGCTTGTTTTCATTTTATTAGCACTGCACTTGCCTACCTGACCATCGTTTTGACTATCCAGGGTCGGTGTCCCAGCAAAGGAACAGCCTCGTCCATGAGAGGATGCGTCTTTATGAAGTTTAACACCTCATCAGGGAAAGCAGTGGAGGAGCTGAACCTGGAGCCCTGACCAGCACAACCACCAGGCCTGCATACACACAGGAAAAATCACTGCCACATTCACAGTTCAGTATGACTATAATACAGGAAGATGATTTTATAGAGCACAGCAATAATCATTATTCATTAAATAAAATGAAATTCCTTAAACCTGATATTTTATTCAGGCACTGATTCTACGGTGTGATGAAAAGCAAGTCACCTTGTATTAATTATGTTTTAGCACTCCCAAGTGCTGGACCAAGGGCAGGAATATTACAAAACAGCTTCTTTGTGCAAGTTTAAAAGTGCAAAATGTGGCCTTGCTCCATACTCACTGCTCTGAAGCTGCATATGAAAACTGAAATGGTCCTATTACCATGCCCACAAAAGACCATTGTCATCAGGTAAAAATTAGATGAATCCAAAAGAGAAAATACTCCTAAGGTCAAGCCAAAATCATTTTTTTACGTTATTAGTTCATGTCCCCAAACATATCAAGCACAAATTAGAACATCATACCTTTTAAAATACAAAATTCTTGTTTTCCTATAATAATGTAATGACTTTTGTTGACAAAAAAGTAAGGTCAACAAGTCAAGTAGTGGACTAGTCTGTGCAACCCCTAGTTGGGGTGAGAGGGCTGGGGGGTTGTAGGGCAGCTGATAACTACATATCAGAGCTCCACATTCCAGAAAGACTCAGGAGAGACATATTTACAGCAGGAAATCTGATAATTTATGTTCCCACAGCATACAGCACATCCCTAAAATACAGCCAGTACAAACCTTCCTATGTTAGTTGACAGCCTTTTATATCAAGCAGCAGTATGTGAAAAGTTTTTTATGCTGCCTGCCATCATATAAAAGCATGCATAAAAATTAGTTTAGTGGGGCATGATGATTGGTTGGTGTCTAAAAGACCTCCTGACACCGGGCCTGTTCTTAATACTACCTTTACACAAACTGCTGTAAACACACTATTTTCTAAAAACAAAGTTGTATGAAAATGTCTGAGCTGGTTTACCTGGGCTTAGGTACCAGTTCGTCAGGCACAGGGGTCCAGATGGATTCCGGAGACTTCTGTTCCTTGAACCTGCCCTCGAACACACGTGCCAGCTGCTGCATGTCGAAGGCACACACCGCTGAGCCGGGGATGCTGTGAAACAGCAAACAACAACAACAGCTGTGGTCAAGCCATCTGATCGACACCTTACACACACTGCCGTAACGCGCCGTCACAACAGCTGCAGGAAAAAAAACATCCCAGCAGGCTTCTGCAGACTTTTTTTCTCTGGCTGACAGACGAGTCAACGATTAGGCCTCAGGCAAAACTCATTATTCTGCGTTGTAGTGCAAATGTTAGGTTGTGTCATGTTAGGTGAGTGAAACTTTGGGCTGGGAAGCATTTGGCACCAGTATAATATCCAGTATTGTCAAGTGTTATTCACAATGACATAAAGCCAGTAACTGTTGTGTATACATATAAACTACAATTTACTGATGGTTAAATCAAATTTATACAACGTTCCTCTGAGCTCAAATATAGTTGACCAGCCATGACATGTTTGGTGTCTGAAGATAGCTTGTTTAGTTTTGCACTGGAGCTACAAGGCTAATGTAGTTAAGTAATACTGCACAGTGTGCAGACTGCACGCTGAAATAATTCAGCTCCTGACTTAAACTGAATGTTTCTGAAATTGCATGATGTACTGTTATCTGCCAAACTATCACTGTAAATGGAACACACCTCAATATATTTGGGATTACTTGGATTGTGAGAAGCAGGAAATGCAACTAACTTCTAAGACTGAACTTTGGAGATGTGGAAAAATCTCCCTGCAGATTTCTGAAGAATGGAAGCTGTAATAAAGGCAAAGTGTATACAAAATAAATACTGAAACATTTATATTATAGTCAGTTTTTGAGGCTTCTGTGCCATTTTTCAGTAAATAAGAGTATTATTTTATTTTATTCTTGATGCTGGAAAACTTGCATTTTTGGCTTTTTGTTTGGCTGAAAAAGTCTCTTACATTTGATATACTGATATACAAAACTGACAATTAACTTTGAGAAGCTTTCTGAATTGATCAAATGACTACATTATTGTAAGGACAGATCTTGGGAGATAATAGTTTGGGGAGCTGTATGTGGTAGGGCCTAGGGGCTTGATCCAGGGTCCAGGTGTTCACCATGTGGACCAGACCAGACCAGACCACCCCCAGCAGAGCTCTGTCAACTACACGCCAACACACAGCTCCAGCAGGGCCAGAGACTGCCCCGGGGAATTCTCGACCTAATTTGCAACTCCTCTCCCATTTCATTTCAGACCACCTCAAAGCTCATAGACTGAGCTGAATCCAAATCAGGCAGTTAATATACATGTACTGTTTATCATTCTATCTTACTGAGACTGAACTGGAGGGTATGGAGTTAACCCTTAAAATCTCCACAATGTAAAAACCATAGCAGGCCGCCTTAAACTGAAATTAAAGGGCATGGAGTCACAGACACAGATTCTAATTCTGTAACTCACTACTTGAAGGTAAATGAAATCAATTTTAAGGCAGCCCACTAACTACGTTATTACATAAATATGTAATTAATTATGTAGTTACAGTTAAATAATATGGCACAATGACAGTAATAACGCTAGACTTCATAACATTTCAGCTGTTTAAACGTTCTTTTTTTACAGAAAAGTAACCAGATCTTAACCCTAGTGCTCAAATGTGTCAAAAAATGGAATATATAGCACAACAATAAAAGTAATACTTCTAAGGGTTGTAGGGCACTAAGGACAACTGTGAGTGAAATGTTTTCGTATCAGGCTTGGAGCATGCTGTAGTCACTGTAACGTCACTTTCTATGATGCTGTCAACAAAAGCTCTGATTTTCTACCTGCCACCAGCAAGCCCAGTCACTCTTCTACCAATACTAGACACATATCAGTCCCAGAGAGGGAGAGAAGAGACACAGAGGAATGAGAACACAGACATAAAGCATGTAACAGACAGGAGAACATGTCAGACCAGACAGAAAAAAAGAGAAAAGTGAAGAAAAAGGAGGGTGGCAGACTAAAGCTAGTCTTTTTTTGCACACAATCTACAAGGCTAATGTATTTAACAAGTAATGGAAGCTTATACTTCACCAATGATGTAAACTGCATGTCTAAATTCTCTCACACTTGCCTCAAATCATGTCAATTTGTAAAGTAATCTCAAAAAGAGTGACCAAAAATGGATAAAAATACATTGCATAGCTAAAAGCAGTGGCAGCAGCCATACTGAACCTGGAATTTTGTCCATATTGTTGATAACAGTATGTCACGCAGTGTCAAAAAGCACATAAGCAAAACTACTACAAAGTCTTGGTCTTCACTCGTGTTCAGGTCTCAGTCTTGACTTGGACTCAACATTAAAGGCTTTTACTCCTGCTTTTAGCTATACAGTATATCTTTGTCCATTTCTAGAGTAACAGTATGTCATTAAGTGTCAGAAATAGAGTATGCGAGTGGAGCAGCAGACATTTCCACTCCTCACTTAAAGTGTTCTGTAATCACTCCACTCCAACTCCGCTCCAGGTTTTCTATTTTTCTGCTCCTCACACGTTCCTCGCTCACACATCAGAGAAAACCCACTCCATGTCCGCTCCTTAGGATTCATTCTTTTGATAGTTTTTGTCTTAAGTGTAGGGACAAGACACCACACTCTTAATTTTATGATTTTTATAATTTATCACCGTTATTAAGTGAGAAACTAATTAAACATTCTGCCCTATAGAGGTTGGTATGGGCTTGAAACACTGGCCCAATCAAAGGCCAGAAAACTGGTCAGGGTAAACAAATGCACGTTTTCAATCTTCTTTATCCTCTTTGCAGCAAAGACAATTGTCTGTATAATCTGTAAAACTTACAGTTGGTGAGGAATTTCCAGTATAGATTTGCCGAACAGCAGCGCAAATACTGCGTATGAATGGCTGTAGTGTGCAAGCTATAGCAGTCTCGCTGCCACATCACTAAGAGGTAATCAGTGTGGAAAAAAAGGGCCATGTGGCTCATGAGGTGGAAAGATGTTACAGTGATATTGGAGTGAAAGAGAGCACCAACACCCCAACTTTCTAAAAAGCTGCTCTGTGCCCTGGGCAAAATCACACTGCTCCACTCCCTGCTCCACTCCCGTCAAAAAGCACATAAGCAAGGTTTTTTCAGATTACTCCAAGTGGTTGAGGCAAGCGAGTGATGATTTAGGCTTTCAGTTTGCACAATGCTAATTGCCTGGGTATGGATAACAAACATGTCTTATCTGAGGCGAAACTGCAAAGCTCTGGTCACACCTTCTGTGAGTAAAATTAGCCTGGCAAAAAAGCCCTTTTACTTGAATGGGAAAGAAGGCATGGATGCAAAAACACAATTCGCTTCTGGTTGCTGTTAATTTCACTTTATTCCCAGCAGAATCTAAACCTGCGAGATGGACGTACTGCTTCTCATTCAACATAATGTTGCTTCTCACTCTGAAAAAAACTTGTTAGCTAGCCAGTACATTTCCTCCAAAACCACATGGCATTAGGACCTCCACATGCCCACCACCCCAGCGAAGAAAATAGCAAGGCAACAGTCCAGTGGGACGGCAGCTTAAATTAGATTTTTCACCCAAACTATTCCTTTAAGTCTCTCCACTGTCAGAAGCTGTGCTCTGAGGCGACGGATGATTGGGACGAGGCTGTAATTAGGGCCTGTACTGAGTCAAACCCCAGCTGGAGCTTGGGGGCTGGGGAGATGGTGGCTTCTTGGCGCCTGTCACCTGACACTGGGCCTGCTGGGATGCCGCCATTGGGCCAGAACTATGGCCAAGAAAGTCATCTGCCAAACGGCACTGCCCACAGGCAGACCAATGGTCGTGTCTCGAATCAGTCACAGTGACCGGTTCGCTGCTCCCTATTAGATTCCATTCAGTGGCTGCACGGATTGAACCAATAAATGTCAAAGTCCGCATGACATTACGGAATCCCCTCATTGTGCTCTGCTTTGCTTAGCTGCCTCTTCATGCTGTTTTTCCCCTTATTTGGTCCACATCAGTGAGCCAAAAGTGGACAGGAGAAGGGACAGAATTGAAACACAGCACAGGCCAAATAATAATTGACGGATTTTAAGGGACTGTCACTGAGGACAGCCAATCGAAAACTCTTTAAAGAGTGTAGAAAAATTTATAGACAGAGCAGGGCAGGGTGTAGTGTACAGGAACAAGGCAGTGTAGGGTAAGGGAACAGGACAGAGGAGTGGTCATGCTCTTATTTGGAACAATTCCAAAGACTGCAGCCTGTTGCCCTTATGGAGATGAGCAGTGCCAAAGATTTCATTGGCCACTCTACCAGTGACACACACAAACGCATAGAGTAGAGTGCTAAAGGCGCATAACCTTACTTATTATTTAAAAAACATAACATTTAACATTTAGAAGTTGAAGTGATCACTAAATGGTTAGTATCATTAGTTGTACTAATTACATAACTAATGACACAATTCATTATTTATTAAATTACATTTAAATAGTATAGAGAGTGTTCGCAAAATCCAGAAAAAGCATGTCATATTGTTGATATTCCGTCAGCATAATGTGTATGAACAGTCAACAGCTTCCAAATCAAAATATCAAGAAAAAGTCAGCTCGATTGAAGATGTTGATCTATACCAAATCAATAAGCTATTTTTAGTGTTGATTATGGGTTATTACCCATGATAGCTTATCCAGACATTTATAATTACCTTGTAAATACTGCATCAGCTTACACAGGAGATAAAAGCATACAAACCGTTAAAATCATGTATTTATTTAATCTGTAGAAGGGTCAGTGATTCTACCTGCACCATCAAATGATTGCAAAAGTGAGTAATTGCTATGTATCTATGTTTGCTTGGATTAATCAGGGTAGGCTTGACATTAGCTTAAGCTAATGTGAGCCCTGCTTATGTTCTGATGTTAACTGCATTGATTTTCCGGCAAAGAGATTAGCGTTAGGGTCAGGGTTAGATTCATTGGCATTCATTTATAATTGACTTTTGCAATCTTTTTATATCAAGAATGCCAATCGTGAACCGTTCTCAAAAGCTGAAAATAATCAAGGGCAAAACTAAAGATTTCTTGCTTCTGTCTACCTGTG